TATAATTATTAAATTTATATCTTAAAAAATTTATACATATTTTTTCATATCTTAAATATATAAATACTTATATAATAAATTATATTATATGTGATTTTCAAATTTGAAGAATTACGATACATCATAACCTTAACAAATTTATTAAAAACAAATTTATAAAAAATATTACAATATATATATTTAAATAATTTTAACATTATTAAAATAGATATTTAACAAAAATATATACATATATAATAATTATTTTATAAAGATAAATCAAATTTATAAATGTTATGAGATATATATTTTATGATTATATAACCTTATCTTTTAGGAATAAAAACAAAAGGAAAAGATAATAAAAAAAATAACACAATTACGTATCAAATTACACAAAAAGAGAAGTTTAGAAGATGCAACCTGGTGAATGACAAAATAAATGTTTATTAAATATTATATTATTATAGATGTCCCATTTATTATTTTATTTACAGATGAAAAAGATAGCGAATTTATGCCAAAATTAGATCTTGTACGAGATAAAAATAAACTAAAATACAGTGATTTAATATATATGAAACAAGCAGAAGAGATAGCTATTCAAAAAGCATTGATATATAAAAGAACTCGTACGAAATGTGCTATAGCAGGAATTTCTATTGCTAGTATAGCTTTAGGAATTTATTTATATACTATACATGCTGTTAAACAAGAAACTTTCTTAAATGATTTAAATGAACCTGAAAGAATAATTGAAAAAACAAATACAGATACAAATATTGCTTAGAAATATATTTCTAACGTGTAGAATATTATTTTTCATTTTTTAAGTATATTTATTATTTAAGTATAAAACTATAAAACATATATAATAAAATTCAAATATTGAAATATCATAAAATATACTATATAATACTGTATAAAACTATAAATTAGTTAAATTTGTTTTTAATTCTAAAAAATTAATAAAAAAAAAAAAAAATGTCCACTATAAGATTACCACCTTTACCAAATATAAGAGATATATTGAAAATATATCGTTTAAGAGCAATGAAAGAACTTTCACAAAACTTTATTTTAAATCAAAATTTAGCAGATAAAATAATTAAAAAAGCAGGAAATCTTACTGATTGTCATGTATTAGAAATTGGTCCTGGCCCTGGTGCATTGACTCGATCTATTTTAAAATCTCAACCAAAACAATTAATTGTTGTAGAAAAAGATAAAAGATTTGAGCCTACTTTAGAAATGTTGGCAGATGCATTTGCAACTGTTAATGGTAAAATGGAAATTATCTTTGATGATATTATGAAAATAAATATGAGTAATCTTTTTCCTTCAACTGAAATGAAAGCTTGGACAGAAAAAAGTCCAAGAATTAAGTTAATTGGTAACTTACCGTTTAATGTTTCAACACCTCTTATAATAAAGTTGTTACATGCAATTAGTGAAAAAAGAGATGCATGGACATTTGGAAAAACTCGAATGACATTAACATTTCAAAAAGAAGTTGCTGAACGTTTAATAGCTCAACCATTAGATGTACA